ACATTTATGTAGCACAAACACAGTTCCAGCCTCTAGAATGTCCCATACTGTCCGATCATCATAGTAATAGGTTTTTTCAGAATTAATTTCGAAACAATCCCCGAGAGACCATAATAATAATGCATGACTATTTGAATCCCAATCAAATAGGCGGCCAAAACAATCCAGAAAAAGCATTCCCAGATAATGTTTTCCGATAATTATAATATGATTAAAACCAAACTGTTTGACATCCATTAAGTAGCACTGAAGCTGCTTCATAGTACATTTTTTAGAATCTTCAGTTTGGAGATGAAAGCAAAGAGAATCTGCTATCAGATTCTCAACTAAAATGGGAGAATTAATATTAATGCACGATGATTTATCGCATTATGCACCATCTGACACTGAACACACGGAAGAACTATCTCCTTCGATGTCAGGTCCATCGTCTGGGAGTACAATATGACACGTCGTTTCTGCAGTTTTCTTTGCCATATAGAGCAAACCAAGTTACTTTCTCGGAACAATTTCCCCAAACTTGATTGCAGTTTAATTTTTTCGTGGTTGGAACACTCGAAAACAATGTTGGCATCATGTTCACTCTTGTCACTCTTACTAGTTTGTTTATTTCGTATATCTGTGCTCTCATCTGTCTCGTTTTGCTGTCCCGCCACGAATTGATGCCCCGAAGAAATATCTCATAATCCTCCTTTTCCGAACCAAAAATTTGAGATTTATTGTGGCTGGGCGAGCACGCAAGTTCTCCTCCATTTCTATGATGTTGTCGGCAAGAAGCTTAACATTTTCACCAAATGTACAGTCTGGTCCTGGAAATTCGTCCTTGGAAATCGATCTAGTGGTATGTCCACAATAGACATACAGCATCCCATACTGTAATCACCAAGATCGGGTAAAATTGAGGTAGCTTCAATACATGCTTGAACTCGTTAACTATAACATCTTTTTCAAGACCATCCCATTCCTCCTTAATTAAATTTAAGAAGACGGGTTGAGAAATTTATTTTTCTTTCCTGCCACCATTTTTTAAATGCGTTTTTCAACATTATGCTTCAAAACAGCCCAGACATTCTCAATCGATTAAGATCTGGATTGTAAGAAGGCCAAGAAAAAACACGTCGTGGAAGACGAGATTCCAAGTCACCTCGAACATCACTGTTTTGGGTCATTATCCTGCTGAAAACCCCACTTGTGACCCAGCAAGTTATTAGCATTATTATACAAACGATTGTTGAGGATTTCCCGATATAAATGACGATCTAAGTTTTCTGTAAATATGTGTATCCCGATTTGTTGATCGTGAGCTTTAAATGGATGCTTAACCTAGGCTGAACTGGTTTTTTTTCACGTGACTATGCACGAATTGTATTACGAACCATTTGGATCGTAGTCTCATCAGAAAAAACTACTTTGTTCCAATTGTAATGCAAGTAAACACGTGCCTAAGTTAAACGATTAACTTTTGCTTGCTGGGTTAAAACGGGCACTCTTCGCGGAAGAACTGAAGTATAACCAAGTTTATTAAGGTTACGGCAAATAGTGCCTCACTGACATCTAATTCTGAGTATTTTGTTCCCAGCATAGTCTTCAATTCCTTAGATGTTGTGAAATAATTATGTTTAATAATCATTCCAATTTGACGGCGTTGTTTAGGAGATATTTTTTGTGAGCGACCAGTTCGATGAATGGTAGGAATTTTGCCATTTTTCCGAAGAAAGTGAACATAACGTTCACAGGAACGCAAGGGAATTCCAGTTTTTTTTTTCCCGAAATTTTTTTTGCATTACGGATGTTTTGCTTCCAAAGAGAGTTAACAAGTTCACGGTTTGTTTAATAGGTGTAGGTGCCATTTGAAAATTAAAATGAGTGTAAAATCAAGCTGTACATTTGCGTTTATTGTTTGTATTTTAAATTATTGTTCTACTACTCAATTTGGTATAGTAAGCAAACATCCAAAACGCGACGCGGTGATGCTATCAACAAAAAACAAAGTCGCGTACCTACCGCCATTACTTTTGTCCAGCACTGTAAGTCCGTTTCTCTTCTGACATGTAACAAATATAGATGCAAATCGTGTAACATAAATCGTCACGCCATTAATAATAATTTATCGAATTTTTTATTATCCGACTCAAAATCACACATCATTTCGCCTAATTCTTAAAATTTTCGATGTCATTTCTATCTTTTTGTGGGCTTTACCTAGTCCAAAACACCATTGTTGATGATATGCAAACGATTTTTCAGATGACCAACTTTGAAAACATCGATCACATAAATGTTTTTTACCTTTGTATTGGTATCCTTGAATAATAAGCGATCCGGGTTTTTAATCCAGAGGAAATGATTTTTGACCCATACTTTCCATCCGTTTTGGTTGTATCGCTGAGGCCCATAAGATGAATAACATGTGGTCGTTTTTTCTGACATTCATTAGGGTTAGAATGAATACACCCCTCAATTTTACAGGAATTTGGAATATATTCTTACTCGCGATTACCGGTTTTGTGTAGCGCTTTGGTTTTTCCATCCCATACATTAATGGAGATATCAGGGTTTTGCTTGAAATTTTCGTGAACAGATTGGTGTTGGCATTGGAATACCGTCTAAATTAACTCTATTAAATATGGACTAATCACAGAAATACATTGTAAATCTTTTTTTACTCTCTCAAATTTAGCAAAGGCATATTTTAAACACAAATCATCTTTCATTTTGCATTATCGGGATTTACGGTGCATTTTTTATTTGCAAGACTTTTTGGCGTTGGTTTGTATGATCCACCAGCTCTAAATATTAATAATATTAAATGAGGTAGTGGGTAACAAAGTAGATTAGACGGCTTTTTTGTTATAAAGTACGCGTCATAAAACAGTACACGTTACACTATCCTAAAATGGTTACGGCAAAAAAGGGATGCTCTCTATCCTGCGTCCTTTTCCTGACCTTCAAATATAATAAAACTAGGGAAAAAATGTTAACTATTTTCTTGCTAGCTTTGTTGCAAAGTAATGGAGTAAAAACAGGTCGAAACTTTATGAATTGCCCCTCGACGTAATGTGTAAGCTTCGATATTTATTATCTCGATTCCGCGTCTTCCAAGAAATTTTCGATTTGATTATCTATTTCCCGGCTGTAAGAGAAATATGCTCATCTATTCTCAAAAAAATACTGATGGCAAAATTAAGTGTTTAGAGGAGAGACATTCTCGAACAACAGTTCTCTATTGGAAAAAACCAAGTGATGTCTTTACGTCTTAATACGGAATGAGTTCTTTGTGACGTCCGAGTTCGAACATGGAATTACACAAGAGAAATTTATGCAGCTTTTAATTCGTTCGTTATCGAGGAAGCTAATCGATTATCTATCTAACTTTGTCATTAGTATGTTATACTAGCATAATGACTAATGCTAATGTGTCTTGGCAGAGGATATCAAAGCAATGTCGACTGGTCTGTTCTTTGTACTAAAAATATCAAAAATGACTCAACAACAAACCACAGAAAGAGAGATTAAACGTATTTTTGTTAACAAAGACCATGTAAAGTCGCGTATAGCTTGTTGACGATTTTCTTGTCTACCCTCTTAGATACTTAGCATCAATTGGTCGACTAACCAGCAAGTGTCCTAACACTTATAACGTCATGTATTATTTTGAATAAATTTATTGCTAAGACTGAACGCGCAGTAAATTATCAGCACATTGGAACAGATCCCGCATAAAAAAAGGTTACTATACGTTCGCACGTAATACAGCTGTTTTGCTTTAAGCCGACCTAACAACTCGTTCCGTATTGATACGTAAAGTAGTCTTCACTGAACATAACCTCTTCAATAAAAAAGACTTAATTCGAGAATGTTTCTGCCTTAACATTAGTTGTATGTATTGTCTGTCATGCTTTTGTCGAGAACAAGATGACTTTTTCTATGAGAATACGGCAGTAATTTGTATATAATGTATCGAAAATAATTACACTGTGACAATTTGATATCAGCGAGGACATTTAAAAGTTTATTTTGACGTTAAATTTTAAGATATTGGCCAATTAATTATAAAACAATATTACTAATTAATAGTTTTACTAGAACTTAATCAATTGTCCGTAATTGGACCAACTAATGAGTTTACAGTCTGCAGTAGTTGCTAGAAAACCATTTATGCATTCAAAGGCATTCTAAAGTTTTACAAGAATAAGCATGCATCAAATCTGAGAAGCCCTATTGAGTGTTAAGAATACAAGTCATTCCAATATCTTGCCAAGTTCGCTTGGGCGGTCCTTTGACTCAAGCTTATATATTTTAAAATTAAACATGAGTGTGTTAATCTAGTAGGAAATTGGTTGGATGCGTACGATTGTGGTAGAATTCCATCTGCAATGTAGAGAAATTTTCGCGTGTAATTTGGTGTAACATCTATATTTCCCCTCACGTGACAGATCAAAAATCCTTGGAAGAAGGACTTTCGCGAAAGACTTTAGCAAGTCGGATATGAAAGTTCATTAGTCTAGTTGTCTTAATAAGGAAATGCTACCGTGTATGATCATATCTAGATCAGGTAAAAGGGAGTTGTTTTTTTTTTAATAAAAACTATTGTACGGGTGAGGTTATAACTAATGAGAGTGCACCGTTCATATGTGACAGTACACAGAGCTCAATCGTATAGAATTATTTCCAGTATATTTGTGACGAGAATACTTAAACAAAAGCAGATGTCATATATCAAAGCCACTGCAACAACGTCATCAGCACCATCAGCATCGGCAGCAACAACAGTATCATCATCAGCGGAAACCAGCAAATCTACAAAACACGCATCGAATTTATTAGTTTACAAAAATATAGTTGACCGCAAAAGTCAACGTAGTCAAAAAGGTAACTCTACCGATAAAAGGACTAGATATTCGGGTTCAATAAGAGAATCCGAATTAGCTCTTCTTTTATCATGGCAAAAAATTTTCACCAAAAAACCTAAATATATAAAGAAGAAGAAGAAGAATTTTATGACCAAACGAACATTCAAAGAAAAAAAGGTCAACTCGTCGACTATGCAACAGGGACTAAACGCGCTTATGGATGTATTATTTAAATTAACGAAGCCACCGCACGGAACAAACCGAAGGAATGAGACAATGCAAGCCACAGTTGACGACACAGAATCCCTGTCTATGAATCAGTATATGTCTCCGGACTATCTTGAGCTAGCAACACAACCAAAAACGTTCCATCCAGACTCTACTTTAACCTCTGTTGGTGAACCTTCACTACGCGTTTTTACGATTCCTTTTGGCTATCTTGACGCATCTCTCTTTTCTGAATATGAGGACTTTGACGACGAGGACTTTCTTATTGAGACATCTTATTCACTAGATGATTCTTACAAGTTTACCCCATCTGAGGAAGATGAAGACCTCTTCAACCATTTAATTTATAAAACCACGGTCCAAGTCGACCACAGTTTGCTAGGACTTTATTATGAGTCAGATATACACAAGATGGTCTCAGATAGTAGAGATATTGCCAATGAACTTGAGAATGAGCAGAAGCTTAAGAGCTTCGACGAGACTGATTCATACAAACTAACTGATAGTGGTATACAACATGTAAAAAATGAGGGCATGTTTCCGAAAAGTTGTAAAAAGAAGACCAAAATACAAGCGGGCAGGCATGAGATGTCAGCTTCAATAACAGGGTTGAAAAGTTCTAGATCTAGAACAAGGGGTGGAGGTCTACAAGAGGACTCTATAAGAAGACGCGCTAAGCGGAAGAGAAACTCAAAGACAGACAATATTGTGCATATGTAAGCTTTTATTTCTTAAAGCAGGAATCAAAGTAGAGTGAACAGTTGGTGTAGAGGGGGATTATGGATGAACTAAAGCTATATACTACGTCTGAAATGTCTTACCTTGATCTGTATTGTATTGACATTTGAATTATTAAACGATTAAGATGCTCTAATTTTAGCCATCAAGAAAGTTGCGTAAGCGCTCAATCCATTTTATATATTCTTGTTGTTCTTTATATTCTGCATAGCTTGGGATAAATAACGCCACCGAAGCAGTGATCCCGCGTTCCTGCAAGTATGCATCAAAGAGTCTTTGGATGTCCTACATGTCCATACGCAGAAATCGTAATTACTAATACATACTCTCAAAGGAATTATTAAAATTAAACAAAACTCACGTCATCCAGTGTGTCATATGTTGGTCCATTATAAATAGACCGTCTCTTCCACTCAGCTTCAGATGAAGTCCCATCTACCAGGCTTCCGTCTGCAAAGAATGCGACATGTTCTATAAGAAGCGCACCGTCATCTATTACAGTATCAAATGCCAATGCGCCCTTATTGTCCTTTTCGACTGTTATGGAACAACGGTAAGGAAACTTTAAGCGAGGTTGCACCTCTTCCTCTGGCACCTCTTGTTGCTGTCATTAGTGTATATAAATACACACAAATATAAGAATGTCGATAACTTAGTAAAGTTTAGCCCTTCATCATGGTTAATGGCTTAAGAATAATCGATATCAGAGTTGTCTTGTTGATCACCATTGCTTGATTGGCTCTGATGTCCCTATCTATTATTTTCTTTTAATCGTCATTTGAACAATAAAATCGCATAGATAACTAAGCAAGTAAAATGGTTCTATTGATGCTTGCCTCATCATCCGTGTAATAACTAGTAGAATTGTCCTTTTCAAATTCTTCGGGTTCCGCATCATAATCAGGATTGGTAATATCGAACGTGACTCTTATCCTACTCAGCCATGGAATAGACGATTACTAGATGTTAAATTGTATTTAATATTAATATCGATCATAAAATTGATCCATTGGATTACCGCTCGTCGCCAAATGTTCGAGTCAGAGTAACGGTGTTGTAATCGGGTTTATCTTCGATCTTTATACAATAGACGTGGTGATATTAATAACAATCATTCGGACAGTCGGTTGATACATTAAGAGTACGATTAGAATGCATCGCCTCTATTAAATACATACCTTGAAAGGATTATTCTCCAGAAAATTCTTAATAAACTTAGGATCAACGGTTTCTGCTTTTTCATATTTGAGTTCATCCTCCAATTTAACAGCTAGTTCTTTATCGCCTGTTAAACACGAAGAAAAAGGCAATCAAATCAAAATCATTTTTGTACGCCATTAACAGGGTAGAGTCAGTCCAAAGCGTTCATCAATCCATGCAAAGATTATTAACAATAAACATACACAACCCATGACCTATTAATTTAATACCACTGCACGAAAAGGCGCGGGCACAAGAGCGTATAGGATTTATGTTTAAGCTTTTATTACTAAAGACTTTATTGGCAAAAGCCGTTGATTGTGTAGAATTAGTAGATCCTGCGAAAAGGGTGCGACAAGGTTGACGTGTCCAAAGGGTTATAGGTTGTGTAAACACACGAATATTGCGAAGAAAACGGGCCATTATTATTTGGTTTATATTAGATCAAGTTGGGTTGTGAGAAACAAAAGAATGGGCAAAATTTTTATGATTACAAAAAAAAAAAAAGATTTTTGATTGAAGATCATCAGACTTATGGGAGAATTGCGTGTTGTATACATAATGCAATGGTTCGGTTGAAAAATCGTTGGCTTTTGTTTGAAATCACATACGACTCCACGCGTCCACATGATCTGAATCTGAGAGATATTTCGTCGGTCGTCAAAGAATCGATCGGTTTTAATTTTGGAGACGTTGGACTGGGTTCTGTTCTTAGTTCAATCAGTGGTAAGCGATAGGCCGGGAAAGGCATCAAGTGTGCTTTGACCTTGAGTATTACTACTTGTACTAATTCATGACTGTCAGTCAAATACTATTCCTCGCTAACAGGCCTTGGAATTATACGGGTTTCACGTGATAAATATACAATAGTATGGGCAGCCCTGACGTTTATTACTGAAATTAAGAATGAAAATTGCCTGATAAGAGTTGTACATTTAGGAGGCAAGGGCTATCATGATTTAAATGTTTTGTTGCTTTCTTGTCGCGATCTTCACGCTTTGCATTTTATTAGGGACCATAAAAAAATGCCAACTGGCGGCAATTGAATATGATCGACAACAAATACTTGCACTTAAACATGCAGATAAACTCAAAGGTAATGATCGCTCTATTGAAATGTATGGCGCGTAGCTGGCACTGATGGCAAATAATCATTATAATCTAGATGAACAAGATGTCGAGAATCTCTTGGAGCGATCCCGGCGCGAGATAATGGCGGTCGAAATATGAGCGGTCGAATGTCATCCATTGTAGTTATCATCGATGTACTGCATTTTTAACAGGAGAAAGGCGGTCTAAATATTAAAGCTCTATATTTTAATTAATTCCCATACTATATTATTTTCCGTAATCGATCTATCCCTAAAGCACATCTGTTCTATAATAATCACAATCACTCAATCAAATTTTTCTCCATTTGACAACTCGGTCTGCGACATTCCCCAGTTCTTTGTGGCCGGAGTTCTGAAGTATCTGTATTCACGCGGCACCAGTGATGGCCAACCTACATACTCACTTCCATTGTTAACGATGAAACGTACAAGAAACACAATGACAGCCAGGAACGCGAATGTCACAAGTCTAATGAGGGTTACGTATTCTACGTGATTGCGGTTACAGATTGATATTAGAAACAAGCTTTAGAGTCGACAAGTAATAATTCAAATTTTCATTTACCTGGTGAATGAGGTATCAAAAATATTAAAAGAATCAAGATAGTCGAGACCGACAGAACTTGTGGCGCCTAGTTTGATAAAAAGAGAGAACCTGTTATTACATATTCGATTGTATGAATCTATTGCGAGTACATTTTCAAACGATACATACCAGTCTAATATGAACCGCTCTCTGGTCAACAAATGGCGACATTGCTCTAAACTTCACTTCATAATTTCCTGTCAGTAAATCATATGCATCCTAGATACAGTGGAGGTAATAGACTGTCGTTATGACAAAGGTGATTCGATATCGAACGCGTGCTCATCACATACTTTTACCTACCTGACGCGAGCCATCCAGGAAATTATTAGTTATGTACCTAGAAACAGAATTTTGAAAATCCTGCAACATACCCTCTTTCGTCCGCTTTCCAGTACTAAATGAATAGAATAGTAATGAAAAATTAAATGCGGGCTATAAAACATTTGGACGCGCAACGTTTCGGTTATAGGGCACATGATTTCGATTATGATACGTGCTTACCGAGTGAAGTCTGTTTTCAATGCTCCCGTACCAGAATAAGCAAGGCTTACAACGTCGGCATTATCGGCCCAAGCTACAAACGCCAAAAACAAAAGCTTTAGATATGCAAGATGTTGCGCCAATCTTATATAACATTTGATACTCACTATTTCTGAACAGATGCATGAACTCTAATACCTCGTCGATGCGTTCTTTGTTACTTAAAACCCCGATAGCTCTCAACTGTTGAGTTAATACCCACTTTGCAATTGTAGATTGTACCACATTTGTACGGTCCAAGCAATCCATACAGTTTGTACGAACAACTGATGTCTGCGTTTTGCATATTTGAGAACCTTCCGCATGGAAATAGCTATACGTAATAACACGATAGTAATAAATTGTCAGTAAACAAGCAATGTCATGGGTATCTTTTGTCGGATGATGTGCTATCCAAGCATCAGCCTTCATAGAGCGGTATAGCATATTACTTCTTCACTTATTCCCCACATTAATAATCACTCACCCCTGTTGCAAAAGCTCATTTTCTATTTGGTCAATTAAAATTTGAATTCTATCCCATCTCATATTACGACATTCGTGATGGAAGTCAAAGTAATAATATGACAGCCGAGGGTCACCCAATCGATAAACGGTGTTCTTAAACGCTTCGCAAATTGGAAATTCATAGCCCCTCTTATTGACCAGGTTGACGACTATAGTTTTCCCATAATATTTAGATTGTTCATCAAAATGACGGCGGGCTGCTTGCAACTACACGAACCGAGATGTGTTGAGAATAAAATACAAATTAGACTGTAAGTGTTAAGAGGGAGTAACCAAATATATGAAATTACGCTGAAGATATCTTCACATATGAACTAAAAGATAGTCGATACAAATACTCAACGACAACACTGCTTCTTCATTCTTTCTATTTACGATCAATACTAACCGTGTCCGGCAACTCCATAATTATCAGCTTTGGAGTATACTTGATGTTATTAATCTGTGCCCAATATATAGGTATGGATCCTCGCGTCTGAACATAAGATAGTTTCACCTTCCCCTCGAACTCGTATCTATCTTCCAGAGGATCCACTTCGACAATTTGCTCTGTTTCAACGTAGTTCGAGGCATTACCATCGCGATCCACACCCCGAGAAAAGAACCGAGTTCCATTACGGAATCTACTGCGACGAGAAATAAGAGCAAAGTTCGTTGGGCGGGATTTTATGCTCGTTTGGTGAATGGAAACAACTATTATCGATAAATTTAGTGTAATCATACGGAGACTAAAAGACGAATCGAGGGAAATTATGACACTTACAGCCGAATACGACTGGTAATATAAAGTCGCTTAGCTAAGAATATTTAAATCAAGATATAAGACCAGAGTAAAAAGAAAACAGATTTGAATGTCGTCGGTCGGATTTGACAACTTACATCTTGATCGGGGTTATTCAGAGTGATATCGACAAGTTTTGATTGCAAGTGTCGATTCCAAAAAAACCGGTCATCTGCCTATTTTACAGTACAGCAATACAGCAACTCATCTTAAGTACATCTCATATAATATTTTACAAATCGCAATATTACTTGCTTAACTTACTCTACGCCATAATGCTTCCCCTGGTTGACTATTTGATTGTGATTGTCGTTGCATTGTATTCGTCAAGTCATACGTATATGAGAAATAGTATTGTCCAGCCTTCAATTGTTTCTCGATTATATTCAAATAATTATCTTCGTCTTTAGCCTAAGTCATAAAGGGGAGATTCAATATGAACAATTAATAATAACAGTCATTAGTATCTGATCTCAAAGTCAAGGCTCGTAGGACAATACAAATTGTTCGTATTATCATGACCTTGTGGTTGCTACTACTATTGCCAAGTTCTCTGCATTCTAAATGATGATTGAATATCCAATCTTTTTACCTCAGATTCCGTTAAATGTCGAAAATCCTTTGCGATAGGAGTCAGCGAATACTGTCTTGCTTGAAAAATGTCATGACCACCTAACCTACCGACTCGTTCTCTCTCGGTGATCGCAATGAGATATTCACCTAAACTATATCAGCATCGGTTGCAGAATCACTTTGTTCCCACCCAGGACTAAAAAATCTCTACGCAATTTACCAGCTAAAAGTCTGATTACACCAAAGATTCCATATACAGTGAGGGTCGTAAGAAGAGGGACAGAGTCTGTTCCTGATGGAATATTTAATTGGATCATAATAATATATTACTCAATGAAAAACTTGAATGATTGGAAAACAGATTACAGGATCATATACCATTATGATTCAATACAAAGGAGCCAGTATCTCTGTTTATTACCAACGAACGAGTTGGAGAAGATGGATCCAAATAGACTGGAACAAGTGTATATGTATCAGGTGTTATGTATCTACAAGATAACAAAATCGTTATAATTTATAATTGGCGTGATGTTTGCTTAGCATCCAAGTCTCAAAATTAATGAAGTTTGCCTCGTTATTTGCAACTAGCTCCCACGCTATGAAATAGCTCAGACACACGGGCGACCCTATATACTTCAATATACCCTAACTGCTTAATGAGATAGTTACAGCATTACGAGCTCAACAACCTACACTCTCAAAGATTCGTGTACCATTTTCTTTTTGGGAACGGTAGAAGTTGCAGGAAGTCGAAACTTTAGCTGGCGGCTGCCTTAAATAGAAATCAATTAAAAGCGGGCTGTGGTACGAGGTCACCGTTTATTCCAGTATCGAATCTGGTGTAGCAAAAAAATCGATCAGCGGTTACCGTTGTTACGTATTAGTATCGTCGCGATAGTTACGTATTAGTATTGACAATAATTTTATTATTAGCTTGTTGGGCTTTAATTCTACTAGACATGCTTTCTGCTAAATTTTCTAAGTATTTTGAAATCAGTTTAAACCATTCTTCCTCCACTGCTCATGCGTGTTTTTTTGGTGGAGACGAATTCCTCTTTCTTTCTAATTGATCCCAAACATGCTCATTGGGGCCATGGAAGTGACATTATCATAACTGGTTTTTTTTGCTGGGGCATTATCTTCTTGAAAAATATATGTATTTTGCCCCAGATTACTCATAAAAGGCAATAGATCTGTTTTCTAAAACTTTTATATAGCTCATCGCATCAATTTTACCTTCTACGCGCAGGTCGATTATTGACAAAACAATCCCATACCATTATGCCACCACCTCCGCTAGGAACCAACGGCGTATCCAAACCTTTATATGGGCATCATTTTGATACAGTCTAAACCTTTTCACTCATCCTAATTTTGCCTATTTTTTCGAACTTCTTGAGCTAAGTAGCATATAGATGAATATTTATACTCCGACCACTTTTACGTATGGTCAGGCATATAATCTAGTGAGTAGACTTTGTTAGTTATCGATATTAAACCCTATTATGTTGCTTCCTGTCTGTTATCGTACTGAATGTAAAGTAAATAATCTCCCAGATTGTCCCTCCAGAAAGTCATCCATTCGTCATCACACCAGGCACAACAGATGCTCCTTATTCACAGCCAGGTCAAATGGACGAGCACGAAGAGCCATTATATGTCACTACCAAACAGTATCACCGAATCTAAAACGAAAGCGAAATTGGAAGCTGAAAATAAGATATCGCGAGATAGAAGGAAATACTTACACGAATCCTAATTGCTTAATTAAATCCGGGAACTCTTTCGCGGCTTAGTGTTAATATTATCCCTAAACAACGATCCAAATTCTGATAATAACGTATTCATATTTATATTGGTTTATTCTATATTACCCATAGACTGCGTTGGTAAGTTAGAATTGCTCGCCATAATAATAAGTTCCGGCGAAATATTAAAATAAAAACCCAAAGTACCAAGTGCTATTCGATGTAATGCTATTACATTTACTCTTGTTCTTTATTAGAACAGGACTTTATTTATTATGAACAATTAGAAATTTAATCTTATATACAGAATGCCATTAGTGTTACGGTACTACACGTATACAGTATTATGTTGCAGTTTGTATAGTGCAACGAAGCGAACTTTTACAATAATAGGATGGCTAATAACGAAGAATATATTGTGCATTCAACGTATTTTCCCTTGTAAACATTGATTTTTGGCCAATGTTGTGTCTGAGATTGGGACCTGTCTCAGTCCCGAACCCAGACACTCAGTCCAGAACTCAATTGTTCCCAACCATAAATCGTTATACTGAATGCCGATATCAACAATCTACTTTATTTTGCTCAAAATGTATTGTTATTAGGACAAGAATAAAGATTGATTGAGTATTGACAGAAAGTTAAAGAAAGTAAGTTCAGCAACCAACGTTGAGGGAGGAAACAAAAAAAACTGGACCACATAACTCGAGAATATATCATACATGCCTAAATAGACTTTTAACTTGGCATTATTTGGCATGATTTTTCTTTTGCTGCCCTAGAAAGCACTTCATATTTTAAACTGAAGGTTTAATGTTACGTGTTTTCGTAACCTGGAAGAACACAGATTTTATCTGATGTCTAGTTGTAATAGTTATCTACTCGAAATTTAGCCTATGTTTAGTTTTAACTTTGAGAGTCCTTCTCTTCGCTCGTCTGTGCCTTTTATTAGGTTTAATCCTTGCCTCCTATTATATGGGATTCTTTTAGTAATAGTAATAATAAGGAAATTGATGACTAATGGCTATTTTGCTAGTAAGTTAAGGTTTGTGCTGCCAAAATTTTACATTTATACTAGCGCGAATAGCAAAGAAATTATTAAAAAACTACACCTGAAAACATTGATTATAGTGTCTCAAAGTCGAGTTTTGCTTTCTCCCTATCCTCTTAGGATTAGCTGCCACTGTTCCATAGTGAGTTTATTGTATAGCCCGAATTTGTCGAATTAAGTATTTTTGAATCGTATATATATACATGGTGAGCGTGGTCTTCCCTTAAAGTGTGTTGGCGAGATATGGACAGACTTTTCGTCATACATGCGGCAAGAAGTCTAGCTGATATAATTGATACCCGGTCATTACAAACCGAAGACTATCAGTGAGCAAACGCAGGTAAAAATGCATAAGATCGAATAACATAATTCGAAGCAAAAGTTTTCTAGCTGACAATATTGAACTATAGTCATTCAGCATCTCCACCAAGTAAGCTCAAAGCTGTCCAGATGTTGTTATATTTGATTAACAATATGTTGGCCCTTTCAGAAACTCGACTAGCAAAAAAAAATACTCAAGTAAAGACTACTCTTTTTGATTTGACACTTTTCGTGGTTGGCATGCTCGAGCTAAATATAATGTGTGTTTTAGCAAAAGGATTGTAACTGGATATGTTATGAGTTCTAAAGAGGGAGCTCCAAGCGTATTGTAATTGTTATATTTTATTTAAATATGTAACTAATTTTGATAGCACTTTTACATAGAATTGATATTAATTTCTTCGAATGAATTTTACAAGTCATTTGGCTACTATGGTCAGACTCATTTCACAACTTGTGTGATTTGCTTTCATTATTTCATAGTTATTATCGTCATGACTCTTTACAAAAGTTCTCACATACGATGTGCGTTGCACACACAATTCTGTCTATGACAATACCTCACGTTGAAGCAGCAGCAGAAGCTGTAAAAGTCTGTATAAGATATGTGATTTAATTACGATATCAATGAAAATGCATTAGTGGTAATAAATCTAGAACCAATGATAAATGTACTACGCGATTTATACACGAGCTTTTTAGGTTATACGGCGACTTTTCTTTATGTGAACGTCACCCAGTAGTAAGACACCCATAATGACGGCCTAGAACAACTTAACTGTACAACTATATTCTTGAGCGTGGCTCCTAGTCAGCACAAGTCTTGCTTCGCAAAATGCGTTTTAATCAATTGCGCATACATGATTGCAATGAAACGTAGCACTTACGTCGGAGCGAATAAGCCTATAATACATCATATTGTTTAGCCCATGCCATGCGTTTGATTAATGCTAGCAGCAGTATTGGGATCTGAAGATAGAAAAGAATGGTGAAGTAAATGATGCTTTGATAGTTAGACTGCATGGGATCTTCTGCTATTTGATAATTTGTCCATGCAAGAATACTTGTTTGTTATAGGAAGCGATCATTAGATATTATCCCAATGTCACACACGTTAAAGTTGGCATATACGACAGAACCACAAGCTCGACAACAACCAATTGATAAATCGAAATTAGAGTTAAGGATAGTCCTTTATAAAGAAATTGTTTTGTAACGCCGTTTGCTTCAAAGCAAGGAACCGTGCGCATTAAGTTTCAACCAACTTACATGTTATTAGGCTTTCATAATACTATCATCTCTATCACCATAATCACATAGTATTGTTTCCTTGTTACAACGTGCTCAGATTGATCCATGTTTTTCAACTACTTGGAATACTACAACCGAACGGATTCTCGAATTGTTCTTTCTTGAAGAACCGTTCACATTCTTGGTTCGAGTTGGGGGGGTGTAGCTTATCATATGCTGAAATAATTGCTGATGGAACATTCTTGTCCCACTCGTTGTAGGCTTTCAGAACATGATTTGTCCGCTGGTATTTGTTATTGTGTCCGTAAGTGTAAAATATACACTATTGAATGATTTGCGTGGTCGTAGTGATAATCGTTGAAATGTTGGACAATTGATGAGTAAATGATGCAAGTTTATTATTGTTATTACGATTTTCGTTACTTCTGTATGGATTTCCAATCATACGTTGTATTTCATTTCCTGGCAGAAGGTTTCTGCCGCTTGTTCCCCCCTTCTAATCTAATGTAGTTAGTCAAACAGTCAAATCTTTTGCCTATTTTTATTTAATTATAAATAGCTGCATTATACGAAAATGTAACATCCAGCGCATTCTATTCTTTGCGTTTCGAAGCAGGACGAGTGTCGGGTCGTCGTAGGGCCTCGAGGGCCAAATATTGATCGAGCAGTCTATAGCCAAGCTATCCTTCTCGCTTTTCACACCGATCCCTAATCTCACATTTACTCACCCCACCATCCTTGACCCCTTACATAACAATGCAAGGCAGTACATCTGAGCATGAAATCTATTGGTGGAGAATGCATCGGATATTACAACGATCTGCTGGCTATTTGGCGGATATGTAACACGACAATTGAATATATATCATCAGTTATCGGAAATGAGAGGCTGTGGGGATAAGGTATGGACGAGGTTGGTATGGTGGTGTTAATATATATAAGCTCGGAAATATAAATAACAAGCTTTGAAATTAATCGATTGGTTTAAATTCTCATAAAGTCATCGATTTTTGTTATTATTGTCTTGGTTTATACTATTATGTTTAATCATAATTAATTAACATATATTGTTATTCACGTGATGAACACACATATACCTGTGTACTAATTTAGAGCATTAACTCTATGGTGTATTGCCTTATCATCCATAGCTATGTATGACAAAGTCGAATAACACCCAGAGGGTGATATCAATAAAAGGATCCAGCAAATCATTGCGTTATCGATTGTTGACGACTTCCGCATCCACCACTCATTCTCGTTTGCTTACCCAACTTCTTATTGGACTAGAAACCACCAATACCACACGAGGAGGTAGGTAAACTGACTTCGAAGAAAAGTCCCTCCTCTTCGCCAACATACATCTCACACTGACAACTACATTAATAATGCCTTGTTTACAAGCTATTTCCTTTAGTACAATATTAACCTATTCGTTTGAGAAGCGCACAAGCAACAATGGACACAAAGAAGCAGCAAGCTGAACAAAACAACGAACAGCAGAACGTTACAAGAGTCAACGGACAGACTTCACAAGAACAACAACAGCAGCAACAACAGCAACAACAGCAACAATCACAACCGCAACCACAACCACAGCAGAATGCTCAAGAGCCGCCTAATGACCAGCAACCCCAACAGCAACCACCACATCATCCGCACTATGACTTATCATCGTTTCCTGGCATAACCCATCCTACCACTACTGTTGTCGTTGACCCTGTGAGTAGAGAGAACTTCTTGCGTTGGTTAGGTGGTGTGGAATAATAGTCTGCGCAATTTGTTTCTTGTGTAAATATGGTTACACTCACATAGATGAATATTTATTTAGGCTCTCCAAGAAAAAGGATCTCCGGCCACTTTTGCGTATGGTCAGGCATATAATCTAGTGAGTAGATTTCGTTAGTTATCGATATTACCCCTATTATTTTGCTTCCTGTCTTGCTATCGTACTGAATGTAAAGTAAATCTCATCCCCCCCCCCACAGATTATCCCTCCAGGAAGTCATCCATTCGTCATCACACCAGGCACAGCAGGTGCTCCTACTTCACAGCCAGGTCAACCTGCACCACCGACAGGAATGGATGAGCACGAAGAGCCACTATATGTCAATGCCAAACAGGTAAAAATGGAAAACTGTGTCACTAATATGTGAGAGTAACGACAGGATCGAAATTTGTTATGTGTTCTGAGAGACTTGTTTTGTATGATTATACTAGTATCACCGAATTCTAAAACGAAGGCAAGCTAGAGCGAAATTGGAAGCTGAAAATAAAATATCGCGAGGCAGAAAGGTGAGTGGATGGTTACCCTTTGGTGAAGCAGCTACGAGACTTGGAGATATCTTTTTCATTTTCTTCGTTTGGCTTTTCTTCTCATTGTTATTCCTTATCGTCTGATTTTATGTTTTTCTTGTAATACTTGAATATTAGAAATACCTTCACGAATCTCGGCATAAACATGCCATGCGTCGACCACGTGGTCCAGGTGGGCGTTTCCTGACTGCAGCAGAGATCGCCGACATGGAAAGTAAAAAGAAAGAGGACGACAACGGATTGGCCGGAAATATAGGCGATTCGCAAACAAATGTAAATAATGGCAGTACCGATGTAGCAATGGCGAATGTGGAGAACGGCGTCAAAGTCGAATAGTTAGTTGCTTTATAGTTTGGTTGGAGGAAGATGAGAAGATGAATTATAGATGGACAGATTGGGTGAGAGTTGGAGAGAGGGTTGGGAAGAGGGTTGAAAGTAAAATGGAGAGAAGAGAGAAAATAAGAGGGACGAAAAGTAAGAGAGAAGGGCAGTCAGAGAGAATAAGGTGTGATATAGAACGCTCATTTAATGATGCGTAAGGTGAAGAGAGCATAGAAATAGGTAATCGTGTAAAGTTGAAGACGGAGGATTTTGGTTAGAAAAAATTTTTTTCCTCCTTTTTATCTTTTTTTTTTTATTCTTTTCTTTTTCCCTTCCATTTCTTTTTCCTTTTCTCTTACTTAATATAGAAAAGGTGGCGCGATAAAGAGGTGTACGATCCCTATCAAATTTACGAGATATCAGAGAGGTGATTTTGTGATCTTTTGTTTCTTTCTTTTTTTTTTTAACAGATGTCGATTCTTGAATACAACAGTGAAAGCCTCTCATATTTGACAGTCTAGTTAATGTTATCGAAAGCATTCATTGCTTTCAATCGAATAAATAAACTTATCATCCGGTCATCAGGTCATCAGGTCATACATGATTTGCTCGTTAATCTATCCAATCCCCGACTATTCCATCCGTCCAACCTGTTCGTAATACTCCGTAATTTACCCAATCTATCAATATATCCGACCATTATCCATTATCGTCATACATGCTCTATATATAGAAGCGAATCACGTATTAATCACCGTCAAGTAAAAAATTACTTTTTTGTGATCATCGATATCGGGAGCAGAATTTAAATTATTAACAACAGCTGCCAACCTTTCCTCACACTCAATCTAATTCATTCATTGACCAACCCCCAGTCCCACAACTTAAAACATTCTCAATCCAATTATTACCCACGCATCTGCTCTACCTTCAATGAGAATTATAAATACCCGATGACGCATTTACATATAGCTGAACTATAAGTTCCCCGTTCCCGCCCCATTTGACTTTTCTCGCTTGAAATCAATCCTCCCTGTTATCAAGAAACTTCTGGTATCCGTTAGGGTACTTGTGTTCAGTGTTACACTGGGAACTTTGGTGCAGTTAACTTGTCCTTTCCTCTTAGAGAAGCTTTATCTTGTCCAGGGAGCATATTAGACTACATCCTTGTAAATACCAAATATAATAGAAATAGCCATGGATGAGAGTATGCCTTGTGTAAAAATTAAATTATGCGAGAAGACTCATCCAAAGCTAATAGAAGCCGTAAGACACGTTAAACGCGCCAAAAAGTGTGTTCTTATAACGGGAGCGGGAATTTCATGTAGTGGTGGTATACCTGTGAGTATAAATATATAACATGGACCTCGTATAGTCCTTTAATGTACAATGTCTGCTTTACACATCACTTGAGCCCACTTCCCACGTTATAACTGAATGTATATATAACCTCATATCTATATTCAAATAGCCATACGTTGACATTAATTTTTTACTCGTTCCCCTTTGACCACTTAGGACTTCCGCTCGTCTGATGGGCTCTACAATCTAATTGCTTCTAAATACCCGGGCACATTCTCCAGAGGCAAAGACCTCTTCGACGCCAATCTCCTCCATTCAGACACCTCTCGTCGTGGCTTCTACGAGTTCATGGGTCTCTTAAAAGAGTTTATACTAAACGCTCATCCGACAGCGACACACCTGTTCATGAAGAAACTTCATGACGTAGGGAAACTCGTCCGAGTTTATACTCAAAATATCGACAATTTAGAAGAGTGCGTAGGATTAAATGTCAAATGGATGGTCAATTCAAAGTGTGCTCAGGTAGTGCAGTTGCATGGGACCATGCAAATGGTAAAGTGTACTTATTGTACTGAAAGCTTCCCGTTTACGGAAGAATATTGCGAAATTTATAAGCAGGGTGGGGCACCTAGCTGTCCTGCCTGTGAAGCAAGAGGTAAGCGAACGATGGGTCGGAATTATATAAAAAATTAAAATGTTAATGTTTGGAAACTGCGATTGGATGTATCAAGACACCCATCCCCGAACTTGAACAAGAGAATTCGCTATGCTTTAACAAACCCGTTAATCACACATTTGCTTACCCACTACCAATATTAACTTTACCAGAAGAAACTCGACGAAAGCAGGGCAAACGACGACACGCCGTAGGCCTCCTGAAGCCCAGTATCCTCCTATATGGTGATTCGCATCCGTTAGGCATACAAATAGGCCAGCTTGCAGCAAAAGATGAAGAACGCCTCGATTGCCTGATAATTCTCGGCACATCTCTCCGAATACCTGGAGTCAAATCATTAATAAGACGGTTCTCTAGAGCGGTTCACGCCCGAAATGGAAAAGTTATTCTCGTCAATGCCACTGATGTCGCAAAAAAAGAGTGGGATGGGATTATCGATTATGAAGTCGTAGGGACAAGCGATGAGTGGGTTGCCTTGGTTGAGAAGGAGTTGGAGAAGAAAGAAAGTACGCGTATGAGAAAACTGAACGAGCGAAGAAAGGAACGGGAGATGAACGGGAGAAAAAGAAAGAAGGAAATGCTGGGTGTGAGAAGCATATTGAATGCGAGGAGGAAGAAGGGAATCAATGGTGATATGAAGAAAGGACGTTACGAAGCTTTAAAGTTAAATAGTGGAAATAGAAAAAGATTCCACACGAAACCAATGCGCGTGCGAGTGCAGGATGACGAGAGTGAACATGCTTGTTCGAGCAGTTCTGTTTATGATTCGGTGGATACTGTTGAAACCGACGATTTATCAGACGCCAAGACTATAATATCAGAAGACGACGAGAATAAGCTTGAAGTTAGAGTGAACGTTGAAGTCATGAGCAGACTAACCGACACTTCTAGTCTCAGTGAGCTATCTGATGTGTCTGATAGTGAGTTATCGGATGTCGAGTCTTGTAGTGAAATGGGTCGAGTGATTGTGGAGATTGAAGAGAATAGAAATATAATGTATCTTAGTGAAAAAAGTTGTGTGAAAAGCTGTATGAAAAGTCGTATAGAGAGGACAAGCAGCAATCCGATTGGGAGTTGTATGCGATCCGATGAAGAGACTGATACAAAATCTAGTGATGAGGAAGTAAACCGTTATAATGCTCGTGGGCGTAAAAGGAAAGCCATCGGACTGTTGAAAGAACAGTTTAAGGTTGTTAAAAAAGTTACGATGGTTGAGAACGAAAAGAGAGGGATTGGAGGTCCGAGGCGGTCTGCTCGGTTGCTTTTGAGAAGAGGAAAGTAATTGTAGCGTTTTTTCTTTTAACATCATTTTTTTATCTTGCTCGAAAAATTAAAGCATTGTTTCTAGCGAAGGGCTTGAAGTCTTTCGTTTATAGATAGCATACAGTTTGCGATAAATATTGTTTTGCTTAAAGAACTTTTGTAGACAGATGTTGGTAATTGTATAGATTCCCTAATACACAGAATAGACAAATTTAAATTTCTCGCTCTTCCTTTTTTTTTACTTTTGTTATTCTTCCCCTTTACATATAGGCAGAGTAGACTTTGCAGAAGAATAAAGAAAAAAGTCGCTTAGTTTCCTGTATATTTGAATAAGACATAATACAACTAATAAGCATTAAACAATGTGCTGGAAGTCACACCGAACGAGTATGTACAAGTGATCGATTCGATGATTGGTGATCTCATCCTTCTCAGCGAAAAGCATTCGGTATAAAATACATCCGGGAGAAAGACTAATGGTACTTTGTTAATGGTACTTTGTTGTGCCAATGCCCTCCACGTGGATCCATTCAACGCATCGGATGACATACTGCATCTCAATGTACTAAAAACCTTTAATGCAAGTGCGCTTAATTTACTGCTGACGCGATGCTATCTTTTGGATTCACTCCCGGTACGCTCACTCCATCTTTGCTTTAATATGGAACCAGAATTCTATTGGTTCTCCTCTGTAATAAACGTGTTCTGTTCATACGACACCCGAATTTGATATGATTTTTAATTGTGTTAACAACTTGCCCATCTCACATGTGCTGCAAACAAGAATATGAATATTAACATCATAGTCCACGTGTTTCTATAAGTGGTTATTAGCTTTAAGGTTTGTTAGTGAGTGAAATACTTTGGGGAAGGCAAGTTTCTGTTTCAATTCTCGAAGAAATTGAAAATACTTGTAAGATTAACGCATCACATACCCTGATAAATAGATGTGAATTATTCATATCATCTGGATATTATTCGCAAGCACGTAAGTAAGGGGGGGGCGAATGTGCTGGTCCACTTGCACAAAAAGTCATATGATCGAAATCATTCATGAACCCATGTATATTAACGAGTCATATGAGTGAGCAAATTAGGTGATATTACATTAGTTCCCTATCCAACTTTCAAACAATTTCCCCACA